TTTTTTTTTTTAACACTTATCTGCTGGATGGCGATTTATCCATTGGACAGAGTTATTCGCCCTTTGAACAACCGGGCCCTGGTCAGGAATTCTCCCTTTCAGCTGCTATACGCATGCGCTATACGCGTCCTTGCAAATTATTTGGGAGAATGTAGAGTTAAATCAAGATATCACTTTGTTAATGACCGAGTCAGTGTGTTATTGTGTTTGCTTTAGAACGCGTGAATATTGTAGAGCGGAAAAGTGCTTCTGCTAATCTATTTACATTGAATTGTTTCCTTTCGTTTAAGTGCCAATATGTTAAGATGAAGGAGAACGCATTCAGAACAGTCTGTGCGAATTACAAATACTCTGCTCACCAACCACATAATCTTAAGTTTGTTTCAGAATTCATATTACTTGTACTCTTTCAATCGTTGCATGAAGTGTAAAAATAAATATTTTTGATAAACGATAGATTAGTCGTACAATCAAACTCCTTTGAAGTGTGCTCACTCGGGAAATATCCCAGTAAGAGAAAGCCTAGGTGTACGGTATTTGTCTCGAGCGTGGGACAAGCCCACGACATGCCCACGACATTATCAGTAGTTTCAGATCAGAGTTCCTCAGGTGTTACAAGGAGGGGACGTGGAAGTAAGGAGACACATTAAGCCCCCCCCCCGCACGGCCCCCTTACCCGCAGGGTTTTTCTTCTCGTTCCTTTCGTAAAATTCCAATAAGTCTCGAATATAGACAGCCTTAATCTGAATTATTGTGGACGTAAGCGCAAAGGGAGCACGAAAAGCGATTCACACTAGAGAACGCCACGGCTGCGCAACTGACGCCGGTAAACAAAATTATCCCCAAGTTTGTACTGCAAAGGAACCCGGATATTAAAATTTATCAGAAACTGGATCATTGGATAATGCGATTCAAGACTTTTCATTGGCTTAGCCATTATGGTATATGAGCCAGTATACCATAAACTACGATATGGTAAGCGTACGCATAAGCTTAAAATTGAAAGGGAACTAAAAATGTAATAAAATTTAATAATTTAATGAAGCGTTTTTTAATAAAAAAATTATTCCACTCGCGTTTGTTGGATATGAGATGATTATAGCCAAATCGGCGCTACGCGCCTCGTTGGCTATCTATCATCTCATATCCAACGCGCGCTCGTGGAATAATCGTTAAATATCCCAGTGGAGGATGGTAAGTGAACTTAGACACCTACACATATTTCTACGCAAAATTTGGCCTCTTTAGGGCTCGGCTGATCTGCTTCAGTTTTTCTCAACTAATCTTTTCACTTGTTAATATGGACAGGACTTTTTGAAGCCCCTTGGTCAAAACCTATCTCAATTTGAGACTATTCAGTTCAATAATGTCGCTTGGAGAAGACAAACTGGCTGGTCAGCTAGGTTCCCGCGGGATCTAATCTCATTCTATCCATGCAGCAGGACGTATGGGGATCCTGGGTAAGCTTGGGCACCCTCGGGATCTGGTCCCGCTCTTTCTCACGGAACACGTGGAGACCCACGTTGGCATTTGATTCAGCAAGATCTGATCGGGCTGTATCCCCTACAACACGTTTGAATGACACAAAAGAACTGAGAACGAAAGAAAATGTTGAACATGGCGGTCGAAGTTCTGAAATTACAACTTATTGGGACTGTCTTCAAGGCCAGGTTGGTTATGGATGTACCAACTTGGGTATTACTGACTGCTCCTAAATGGAAGGGGAAGCAAATAGAATGGACCTCTAACTTAGTTATTTTGAATGCGTAGATCAGTTCGAAGATCAATTCGAAGATCATTTCGAAGCTTCGACACCGCCAGAGGCAACTCCCAGGGCATTTGAACTTTCGAAATTGGTTCGTTCAAATACCCTACCCAAGCCATTCGCTCACAGAAGTGAACTCTTTATCTTTAAACGCTTGATATTAAAAGATAAAACACTTTTATTCCGCCGAAATAATTATCCAAATTCTCCACCCTAGCCAGGTAAGGTTGGAATTCCCTACTTCCAGGGCACAGAGGACGCCAGTCAATTGCCTGTACGTTTTTCAGGGGAAGGGGTATGTAGCGTCTACGGTGACCAAAATCTAAATTCTCAAGTTCAAGGGCGTGTCGCTCCAAAGCGCGGTTAACGAGGTGTTTAGGACTATTTTACTGATCGACATAACGAACCAAAGTGGACAGTTTGCACGAATCTTTATTCTTGAAAGGCAATCGACCACGAACCACAATCAATGACGAAAATAACAATTATTCTTACAGTCAATCAATCTATCGAACGATCGATCGTAAACTGAAACAACAATACAAGAAAGTTCTATCGATCTAATGAAAAGCCGCGGAATACATAATCAAAGAATCGCGTGTCAAATACTGGGCTCAAACGTCTATAACGAGACTAACAATACAAGTAAAACAGAACAGCCCATTGTTCTATCTAAATGATGGGCGTTCACTGACTCGCAAATTGGCACGACTTTGGCCTTTAAATCTTAAATCCATAGAGATCATTGCAATATTTGTTTGTATATTGTCGCCCAACACTGAAAAGACTGGAAAGGAAAAAACAAAGTTACAAAGGTACTCACATATCGGTCCCGCATGTGCCATAGGTTGAGAAAACGAAAGGGCGAAAGTTTACCAAGGCTATTCAAAACTTACGAAGAACTGATTAAAGGGACGCTAAACTTGCCTTTTATATGCGCGTGTTGACGCTGAAAGGTCCGATTGCAAAACCAATAGGAATACAGAAAAACAGATAAGCATTGTAACTATGTGGCTATCTAAGATCATTCTGAAATTAGTGAACTAATCAATAATCAATCAAAAAATGAGCCTTCTGGCTAATGTCCTTAACAGTTATTAAAAACATCGAAACTGGAGAAGCTATTATCAGGCACAGATTTACAGATACAATTCCATAACTTTACAATCCTATCAAAATATGAAGCTTCAAATGTAGAGGTTTTGCAAATAGGGGTTTTTAAGTTGTAGGAATTACTAAGCCTAGTACGGCCATGACAAT